GGGGTTGAGGCAGTAAACAGATGTTCCAGTATTGTTTACTGTACATAAAAACTGAAAATTGTCCTTTGAAGTTAGCAAATTCAATGGTAACTTTAAAAGCAGTTCTGTTAGGCTGATGACTGAAAAAGTCAGAATTCAGTATTAAAAATTTGAACAGTTTGTGAGGGAAAATAAAGACAGCTTTTGGAAACAGTTCATGAAGGAAGCATTGTATGGGAGTAGAGGAGGTGTAGTTTAAGATGAAAACCCATTGTATATATATATGCTGAGGCAGTCAGGAGGATTCACATGATGGAGTAAGTATCAGTTAGCTTTTGCTGCATAACAAATCACCCCAAAACTTTTTGGTTTAAATCAGTTTGTGTGCATTATTTCTCACAAGTCAGACCATTGTTTGGGTAGTTCTTTGGTCCGGACTGGCAGAGATCTCTGAGGTTAGAGCTGGCGACTTGTCTGTGTTGGTTAGTTTGGGATGGCACCCTGGCTTTGTGTCAGCACAGGCAAGATCAAAGCCGTGTGTTGTTTATCATCCTGAAGGTGAGCCTAGCATTATCCTTGTAGTGATGGCCATAGAGTTTCCAAGAGCTGTAAGAAAAGGCAAACTTTAATGAACAAGCTCTTTGCAAAGCTCAAAGCTCAACTTCATCATTGCTCCTGTCACCTTGGCCACAGCATATCACACGGCCAACCTCAGAATCACAGGGTGTGACAGGGAGTGGATACTGGGACATAGGCACCTTTGCAGGCCATCACTGCAGCTATTTGCCACACCAGAGTTGAGCTGTGGGGCTGGTGGAAAGGTAGGTAGGTTTGGACAAGAGAAAGAGCACAGTGTTGGATGGTTCTTGAGATCTTTCACCCTGTAGGTAGGAGGGCAGCAGATTGAGGGAGCTTATTGCTCATGGCTTCTTTTTCCTCTTTGGGTGTGTGTGTGTGTGTGTGTGTGTGTGTGTGTGTGTGGCTTGTATCATCTCCTGGACACAATGGAGTAAATGTCTGAAAGGGGATCATTTAAGGAAAGTTGTAGAGTCTTGAAAAAGTTGGGAGCTGACCAGAGGCATGTGGAGAATGACTCGCATCACATATTGAAAACCCTTTATAAGATTTAAGACCATAAAATCGTAGTGGTCTCCATCTACAGTTGTGGTGATTCTTTTCCATTGTGCTCCATAACTTGATTAGAGAAATGCAGAAAATTCAAGGTTGAGTGGATCTGAGGTTAGGGTTTCTTGAGACAGACGAGAGTGGTTGAGGCGAGGAGCTGTACATTCTTGGTAGAGTCTGGAGTCAAACCAAGAGGGGGAGGCCATACATTAATTATAAGGAGGTTTCTGCTCCTGATGTGTTCAAAGTACAAGTGTCGTGGAACAATGGGAGCAGGAAAAGGGAAGTCTGTGGTCAAAATCAGCTTTCAGAGATGGAGCAGCTCTGTTCTGCCATGGTCTCATGGGCTTTCTGAAGTGGGGTACACATGAAGGTCATTAGTGAGGAATGCCATAGACCAGGAAGGGTTCTGGGGTATAGCACATTGGGGCGTACTGGAGTTTCTCAGGCACCTACCAGCTTTTTATCTGAACGACTGGTTATAAAATGTAGCTCCCTTTTCGAGGGCATATTTTCCAGACTTTTCTCCCCTTAGGGGAGAAGATGAAGGCAGAGTAGGCATCAGGTAAGACTTTTTGTCTCTCTGTTTTCTGTAAATATTAAGTACCTTTTACAAACAGTTGCCATTTCACTTCCTTTTTTGGGGGGGTTCCCTTTTATCAGTTTTAAAAATCTTATTGATGCCTGGAATTCCTTCTAAGCTTCAGTGCATTCAGGTTTAAGACCTTATTACTCTCTCCTAACAGATGTAGCTCCTCCTTGTTCCCCCATTTATCTTTGCTTTAGTGCTCTTACTTCTTGCTTTTACATATGTCCTTTTGAAATCTGAGCTCATCTGAGAACTCTCTTGTAACTTGATTGATTTCTCTAAATGTCTTTTCATTTCTTACACACTTGACCATTCTTGGGGCTGCATTCCTTCTAGAATCTTTGTTCCTGCACTTCTACCTACTTTTTTATGTGAACTTTAAAAATGGGAAGGGAAAAGAATGAAATTTGCTTGCAAAGTATAGGATAGACATTTTACTATACCAACATTAAAAACATTATGAGTTAAAAAAAGTACCACATAACCAGTCTTCCTTAAAGTTTGTCAAAGAATCAAATAAATCTCATTTAAATCCTGTTGTTAATAATTGTTGCCTGAGAATCCATGAGTGAGACTTCTTTTGAATTTGAATTCTCATTTATCAAATGAGGGCTATATTCTCATTTATCAAATGAATTGAGGGCTAAAAGTTACTTCTGTTCTTACGATAATAGCTTGAAATGATGCATGTTTTCTATGCATAAACCTGGCGCAAAATAGACTCTCGGTCAATGTTAATTTCTATTCCTGTTACATCCCACTGTTAATTTTTTTATAAGTCAGATTTTAGTCTAGAGACTGAATTTCCTTTATGTGCAACAAGTCTGAGCTGAACGTGTCAACAAGACAAAAAAATTGAGAAGCTAGTCAATATGGATCTATTTATTCAGATTGGAAAGTTAATAAATAGTAAATAGATATGAATGTGGAAAAGAATGAAACATGCCTTTAATCTGTTATTTTTTTATTTTATTATTTTTTTTTTTAATTTATTTATTTTATTTATACAAGCACTGGGTACAGTCAGAAGTGCGGGAGGGTGAGAGAATTCACCAGAGCCAGAGAGGGGAGCAGAGCAGGCAGAAGGACCGAAGTACACTGCTGAGGGGAGCAGTGGGTGGCAGGAGAGGTCTGCGCGCCATGTGGGACCCTTCTCCGGTGGCCAGGGAGCACCTGGGGATCGAACCGGCACTGCAGAGGCTGCGGGCAGCTTCGCAACCCAGCGCTCAACCGCTGCGCCACCGGGGAGGCCCCTAATCTATTATTTTTTAATGGATACTTGGACATATTATTGCCAGCAGTACTGGTATATTTAAAAGGATATATACTGGTTCTGTGGGATGATAGGGAATGCCTGGGAAGACCAGTCAGTTAAAATATCTCTACGAGATCACCACGCCTGAAAATTTCTGTACTTATTGAAGTTTAGACACTTTCCTCTGAAAGTTATTAAAGTACTTCATTAGTTAAGAGTAATGGTGTTCATTACTCGGAATTAGATTATAATGATGTAACATAGCGCAAGGTGTCAAGAGAAGGCGAGTCAGTACATGTAGATATATTTACATATAGATACAGTTAGTATGGGGAGAGGTAAAGGAAAAGTCTGAAGTATTTGGCCATGTGTAAGTAGAATACTGTTGCATTGTCTATTTCTTACTGAAATGTTAAGAAGTTTTAGCGTTTATCACACATAGGAAATTTTAAGGGAAAAGAAGCAGCATATATTTTGGCAAAGTCTTAGTGGTCTGACCTTGAGCCTGATAGAGAGGTAAAAGGCCCCCGGTACTGTCCTTGAGATCCACAGGACATCCATTTCCAGCTCACGTGTCAGCTTAGTGGTCTCTTGCCACATGAAGACACAAAAAGCCTTTGTCTTATGCTAAGTATGAGCCTGACCTACGTCATTGGACTTGCAGCTTTGAAAAGGCACTTTCAACTTTTCATGCCTCTGGTAAACTTTTCTTTCTTGATGACTATGAGATGATTTCAGATAGCTGTCGTTTTTATTCCATCAATTCACTTATGATAATGATTCCTCTTTTAGATTAAGGAATTTCCTAATGATTAAAAATGGTTAAAATAAAATGTGGTTAAAAATGTTGGCTGGTTTCACTTATAGGAGGAATATAGGGCAACCAAATAAAGGATCAGAAAAAACAACGACAGTGACAACAACAACAACAATAATAATAAAACAAAAAACAAAACTAGCAAGCAACCATAAAATCAGAGGCATTCTGTGAGGGTGGAGGAGGAAATTGGATTAAGCCAGGGGAGAGAAGAGCACAGGGACTATGGTGTGGTTCACGGGTGACTTGGTGGTGAGTATTTTATGGGAACTACACAGTGATGTAAAAGATATAAGTAAAAAAATTAAAAAATGTTTCAGTGGTCTGTTCTCAGGCAGGCTAAAATTTCAAATTAGTAAATATCTGCTCTCTATGTCTAAATGTCGATGCTGTTACTTTCCATTAATGGAAGTTAGATGAAAATTCACCTTAGTAGCCAAGTATTTAATTCTGCTAGGTTTTACTTGAAAAGACACAAGAAAATTGTGTCTTTACACGAGGGATTTTAGGCAATCCTGAATTGGGCAGAAACAAAAAGTAGAACTCTATCGTGAATTTGGCGCCAAAGTGTTTAGGTGAAAACCTGGTGGTTTGCCTTGGTTAAGTTACATCCTGACCTGTGCCTCCCTCTTTTGTGAAGGAACATAAAAATGGCTAGCTTTTAGAATAGCATAAGGCCTGTCATATGGACTTTAAGTTTGAGACCACAAGACAACTGAATCTTAAATTCACTTTATCGAAAATGTCTCATTTAACCTTAGGGATAGCATCAAAATAATTATGTTCCTTCAGAACAGTATATTGGCAGGATTCAGAGACCATATTTAGTTTGGATACGGTTAGTCTATAGTAAGAGAAGACCCACCACAAAGCGTGGTTAAAAAGAGAGACTGGCTTGTTTTCTTTCTGATCTAATGGTCCGAGGGCTGCTAGGGCTGATGTTGCCTCAGTAATACAAAAAACAAACCAAAAAACCCACCTAAAATGTAGTACAAAATACTTACAAATATCTTTTAAAATTCAGTAAATGTAAACTATTGTTTAAGTCTCTCACAGGAAGCAGAATTAGCTCACCAGCGGCCACGCCCGACTGTGCCTCTGTGTAGTGGAGAAGCAGAACATGTGGGCATGTGCAACACAGGCCTGCAGGTACTCTATTTGGTTGAATGTTGATCCCAGTGATGGTCACTTAAGTGACCTGTCTAAATCCAATGTCACAATGACATTAAACTCACTGAGCAGAGCCTTCCATGTAGACCATGACTCTTCCAAATTCCAATACCTGATTGTGTGTTGACACCTTTTTATTCCATCCTCCAGATGTGGATTGCAGCTAAGGTGGTACTGAAATTAACAAATAAAAACAACCAGAAGGCATGAAGATAAGTTGCATATTTTAAATTAATTTTGAATTCATTAATTTTGAAGGGACTTGGGGAATGAGTAGGCTTTGAAATTGGCCTTGATAACATGGCTTGAGTTTGGATGGATTGGTTCTGCACACAGGGGGGCAGAGCGTGGGAATTTGGGGGTAGAGAGGTAGGTAAATAAGAGAATGTGGTTTCACAGCAGGCCTAAGAGAGGAGTAAGGAATGGTGTTGGGTATTTGAAGTGGGGACAGATGATTGCATGTGCTGGGCACAGCGTGACTTTTCCTTCTGGAGAAAGATGATGATGATATTGAAATTTTAAAATTTCGACAGATACATGAAAACAGAAAGACCAATCTGTTTTCTTGAGAAGCTTAGTTATATGAAGCATATAGTCTTTAGACCTTTTTAAAGCTTCATACAGCTTAAGAGCTGCACATGGAGAGGAGAAAGTCAAGAATTAAGCTACATTTGAAGGAAAATATGTCACATCTCTCCTGTAGTTATTGGTTTTCTGACTTAGAAATTGATTTGTTCTAAATAACACGTGTTTAAAAATATCTGCACATACACATTCCTAACTATGTCAGACTAGATGAAGTATTTACACAGATATGCATTCTTAAGCCTTTTTAGTAGTCCTTTTTCAGCTTGAGGTCGTCACGTAACTGCTTCAATAAATTAATGTTCCTTTTTTACAGTGACTCACTCGGTGGGAACAACAAATTTGTTTTCAAGTCTGGGCTGACCTTCATTCATGGAGGGGTGTCCTCGTGCTTCCTATGCTAACAAGGCAGGGAAGTTTTCCCCTTCTTGTTTTTCACCGTGACGCCCACAGAGCCACACCTGGCGTTCGGCGAGCAGCATGTGTTGTAGATTACAACTGCTGAAAGGTCCTGCGCTGTCAGCCCAAGTCCACGCTCTGCTGTGTCAACCTGTTGGCGAATTATAGCTGTTACTCCTGCCAGTTAAGGCAGTGGAGGTGGAGACATCAGTATAAGCTGATGTGTGCTTTCTGTTGTGAGATCACAATTTAGGGAGTTGGCATGATTGGCACATATGTGCATTTCAGTTTTAAATCCTTTAGCCACTGTAGGAGAAGCACAGGAGGAGAAGGACAGAAGAGTTTTCATTTTATCGAAATATAAGAGTTGCTTATTCTCTTACAGCAAAACAAACCAGTGTAAACACTGGAGTCTTGTCAAAGGGGCAAGTCTCTGTGTGTGTGTGTGTGTGTGTATGTGCGTGTGTGTGTGTGTGCATCTTTTTTTTTTTTTTAAAGATTTATTTATTCATTTACACAAGAACCGGGGTACAGGCCAGATGTGCGGGAGGGTGAGAGGATTCACCAGAGACAGAGAGCAGGGAACAGAACAGGCAGACTGATGAATACATTGCTGAGGGGAGCATCGGGTGAGACAGGAGAGGTCTGCCGCACCATGTGGGACCCTTGCCGGCTGGCTGGGATCGAACTGGCGCTGCAGAGGCTGCGGACAGCCTCACAGCGCGGCAATCAACCGCCTGCGCCACCAGGGGAGGCCCTGTGTGTGTCTTCTGATTCTGCCTCTATCACCCCCAAACCAAACCAAACCAAATAATGATTTACATGCAGGAGCTAAGAGAAAATCAAATGAAATGAAAAAAGAAAGAGTTCATTGTGTAAGGGGTGGCTAAAGCCAAAGACTATTACAGGTGGTGCCCCCTGAGGGGGGGTTGCTGGTGAGGTCCAGGGAAAATGCTAAAAAGTATCACATTTTGGGGTGGAGTGACTGATTAAATATACAAGGGACTACAAAAGCAGCCCCTAATGATTTAGTCATTGGAATTGAGCTTTTGAGGATTCAGTTTTTGAGGATTCAGCACTTGAGATGCAGCGTCTTCGGGGTCAGTGATTTTGACTTCCATTGCACTGGTCTTCCAGAAGGCTGTTGTGGACCTCCAAACGTGGAGAGGCTTCCAGTAGCCAGCCTCAGAGGGGAAAAGTTTGGAGGTTTGCAAGTAGCTGAGCAAGTGAAACTGTTCCCGGTTTTGCTGTTATTGCAGCCTGTCGGGGAAGGTGAAGACCCGGAGCCAGGCGCCTTGCTGATCAGGGTGAGTGTAGCCGTTTGTCGGGTCTTTCAGCTGCTGCAGCTGCTATTTTGAGTGTCACTTGTCTGGTGCTGTGCTGGGGCATCTCGGCAGCTCTTGGAGCATCTCCTGTGGTGTCTTCTGTTGTCTTCATGAGTTGGAACCTGGCCTATATATAGTCTGGCTGCCACAGGAAGACACCATCTTGGGCATGTGGCCTATTGTTGGGGAGAGGAATACTGTGTCCTCCAGTGGTGGAAAGATGCCATCTTAGCTGTTATTTGTTTAGATCTTGAAAACACTGGACACTGCTTTGGGTGAGGTAAACAGCCATTTTTTACCTCGGTAACTATTTTTTTCCCCTGGTTTGTTGAATAAATCCCACTGTTGTTGTTCTCAAGCCTGAGTAGTCTTATAATTGTATGCACAGGTGAAGAACTCAGATAGTGATTGATAAACTTTGGGCAGTGTCCTTGTCCAGTTATAGTGCCTCTTGCTGCCCTGTGTCAATTGCAAATAAGCCAATGGCAGGGGGGAAGACAGGAAAGGTGTATAGATGATTTGAAAAGGTATGTGTTTATTCCATAATTGATGGAATGAGTACCAGGGTATATGCTGGTGAATGAAAATAAAAAATAAGTCTTGACCTTGAGAATTTCTTAGACTTTAGAGCAGGAAGATGAAGCTAGTCTATGGTAGCAATAAAAGATGATAAAACTATCAGTAATATGAAGAAATTTACTTGTTCTTATTGCATAGGTAAATATATCCCATGTCACAATTTTGTTTTCTTTTTCTTTTTTGACTTTATATTGAAAAGTTTAGGGTAACAAATCAACTTTAATAGGTTAATGAGCAAGTAATGACAGAAATAATTATGTGAGGGACATATATGACTTAAAATCTTAAAATATTATTCATTTGTAGGAGATGTTAAATCAATTCCTATGATCACTTGGTGCCAGAGACATTTCTATTAGAATAGAAAAATTGAATTACTCTGATACTGGAAACTTAGCATGAGGATGATTTTTGTAAAAGATCTATTTATTAATCGGAAACTACTATGAGCAGTTATAGGCAAACAAGTTCAACAATCTAGAAGAGATGGACAAATTCCTACAACTTTACAATCACCCAAAGCTAGATAAAGAAGAAGTAGAACACCTAAACAGACCAATTACAAGCAGTGAAATTGAAATGGTAATCAAAACCCTCCCCAAAACCAGATGGATTTACAAATGAATTCTACCAAACATTCAGAAACAAACTAGTGCCTACCCTTCATAAATTCTTTCAAAAAAGTGAGAAGGAAGGGATAATACCAAACACATTCTATGAAGCCAACATTACTCTAATACCAAAGCCAAACAAGGACAACACACAAAAAAAGAAAACTACAGGCCAATCTCTCTAATGAACACTGATGCAAAAATCCTCAGTAAAAATTTAGCTAACAGAATCCAACAATGTATCCATAAAATAATTCACCACAACCAAGTAGAATTTATTCCAGGGACAGAAGGATGGTTCAGCATCCAAAAATCAGTTTAATCCAACACATCAACAAAAAGAAATACAAAACCATATGATAATGTCAGTAGATGCTGAGAAAGCTTTTGACAAAATACAACACCCATTTATGATAAAGGCCCTTGAAATACTTGGGATACAAGAAACATACCTCAATATCATAAAGGCTATACCTGACAAGCCCATAGCCAATATCATTCTCAATGGTGAAAGGTTAAAAGCAATTCCATTAAGATCTGGAACAAGACAACGATGTCCACTCTCACCACTGCTTTTCAATATAATACTGGAAGTCCTAGCCAGAACAGTAAGACAAGAGGAAGACATACAAGGAATCCAAATAGGGAAGGAAGAAGTTAAACTATCACTATTCACAGATGATATGATAATATACATAGAGAACCCCAAGAACTCCACAGAAAAACTAATCAAACTAATCAATCAGTTTGGTAAAGTAACAGGATACAAAGTCAACACACAAATCACTAGCCTTCCTATACACAAACAATGAATCTGAAGAAGAAGAAATCAAGAAAACCGTCCCTTTTATTATTGAAACCCAAAAAATGAAATACTTGGGAATAAACCTAACAAAAGAGGTAAAGGACCTATACAAAGAAAACTATAAAACACTGTTAAAAGAAATAGAAGAAGTCACAAAGAAATGAAAAGACATCCCCTGCTTATGGATTGGAAGAATTAACATTATAAAAATGGCCATCCTACCAAGAGCAATTTACAGATTTAATGCTATTCCAATAAAAATTTCAATGACATTCTTCAAAGAAATAGAACAAATATTGATTAAATTCATATGGAGCCACCAAAAACCCTGAATAGCCAAAGCTCTCCTGGGAAAAAAAAAAAAGAAGGGAATGGAGGTTTCACACTCCCAGACTTCAAAGCCATAATAATCAAAACTGCGTGGTATTGGAACAAGAACAGACACATGGACCAATGGAACCGAATAGAAAATCCAGAAATAAACCCACAAATTTATGGTCAACTAATCTTTTTTTTTTAAAGATTTATTTTTATTTATACAAGAACCGGGGCACAGGCCAGAGGCAGGGGAGGGTGAGAGAATTCACCGACAGTTTGGGGAGCAGAACAGGCAGATTGACCAAAATACACTGCTGAGGGGAGCAGCGGGCAGGACAGGAGAGGTCTGCCACACCATGTGGGTTTCTCCCTGGCAGGCCAGGAATTGAATCCACACTGCAGAGGCTATGGACAGCTTCACAGCGCTGTGCTCAACCCACTGCGCCACTGGAGAGGCCCAGGTCAACTAATCTTTGACATCAGAGCAAAGAATATGCAATGGAGCAAAGAAAGTTTTTTCAATAAATGGTGCTGGGAAAACTGGGTCGCTGCATGTAAAAGAATGAAGCTTGATTACTACCTCACACCATGCACAAAAACCAACTCATAATGGATTAAACAACTAGACATAAGACCTGAAACCATAAAATACATAGAAGGAAATATAGGCCAAACACTACATGACATACACCACAGTAACATCTTTAAAGACACATCACCCAAAGCAGTGATATTGAAGGCAAAGATAAATGGCTGGGACTACATCAAATTAAAGAGCTTCTGCACAGCAAAAGAGACAGTAACCAAAACAAAGAGACGCCCCACTGATTGGGAGAAAAATTTTGCACACAACACCAATGATAAAGGACTGATCACAAAAATGTACGAAGAGCTGATGAGACTCAACAAAAACAAAGTAAATAACCCAGTCAAAAAAATGGGCAGAAGAGCTGAAAAGAAACTTCTCCAAAGAGGAAATGCAAATGGCCAACAGGCATATGAACAAATGTTCAACATCACTTGTCATCGGGGAAATGCAAATCAAAACTACCATGAGATATCATCTCACACCAGTGAGAATGGCACATATTAAAAAAACGAGCAACAACAAATGTTGGCGAGGTTGTGGAGAGAAAGGAACTCTCCTGCACTGCTGGTGGGAGTGCAAACTGGCCCAAGCACTGTGGAGAGCTGTGTGGAGATTCCTCGACCTCCTACAGATGAAGCTTCCATATGATCCACAATTCCACTCCTAGATATTTACCCAAAGGATACAGAAACATTAATTCCAAAGGGCACCCGCACCCCTATGTTTATAGCAGCACTATTTACAATAGCTAAGCTATGGAAATAGCCCAGACGCCCAAAATAGATGACTGGATCAAGAAGATGTGGTACATATACACCATGGAATATTACTCAGCATTCAAAAAAGATAAGCAATTTCCTGCAACATGGATGGCGCTGGAAGGGATCATGCTCAGTGAAATAAGCCAGAAAGAAAAAGAAAAATACCGGATGGTCTCACTCATAGCAGGAATTTAGAAAACCTAAATAAGGACCAGGAAAAAGA